ATAACATAGTTTTTTTTTTCGGATTTTTTGGATTTCTTTTTTGTTCTTTTTTGCTGGGAGCTCCTTGCACGGGCTGGCCACCCGGGACCCGGGCGGCCCGGCTGGTAGCCTAGAAAAATTCCGAAAAACAACTATGTTATGGAGAAACATAAACTTAACAACATTTGCCAGGGCACTACATCCAAATTCTTTACCAAATTTGAATTAAAAATCCAATACAGAAAATAAACACTATGATAAAAATAAGAAAAAATAAAAAGAGAAATAAAATGAGTGAATGTGCCAGCACCTTTTCGACACCGCCATCTTTGCCGATTTTTAATTAGTTTTTGGCATTGACAAATGCCCTGAAAATTTACAGATATGTAGTTTACATAATCAGTAACTCATTATTTGTTTTTCAAAAAATAATAATTTTTTTTAGGCCCCAAAATAAAGTGAAAACAAAAAGTTAAAAGTGAAAAAAAACAAAATAGTGAGTGGGCGAGCACGTTTTGACACCCCCATCTTTGACGATTTTTAATGTTTTTTTGGCTTAGCAGAATCGCTTCAAAATTTATAGGCTTGTAGGTTACATCATAGAGAACTCACAAAAAAAATTTCAGAAAAGACAACTTATTTTTAGGCCCTGAAATATTTTTTGGCGGGGGCCGAACCTGGAGGACGCCCGGGGCCCACCGAACGTTCGGTCAGGTAACCCTGATAATAATAATAATAATAATAAGAAGTACCCGGGTAGTGGTGGATGTGGTTAATGTGCTTAACGGCAATCGGGTTAAGGTTGATGATCACATTTATTTATTTATTGATTTATTTATTTATTTATGGGTTAGGGGACTCCGCAGACTGTAGAGGGCTCAGCCTGGTGATGAGTCAGACGGTCGAAGGCCGACAAAACAGTCTGTCACAGCCCCCCTTCGTTTGCTGTCCTCTTCTCCTTCTCTGCTTATGGTTCCCTTGACAGTTCTGTATGACGTGTGTTGGCATTTCCCCCTGCATAGAACCCATGGTCATTCTTTCATTACTCAGTAGAGATGCGTATACGACACAATACGCACTCTACTCAGGGGGAAAGAGCAGTCAAAAAAAGAAACGAACAAAAGAAAACAAAGAAAAAAAGAAAAAAAAGAAAAAAAAAGAAAAAGGGGAAAAAAAGGAAAAAAAGAAAAAAAAGAAAAAAAAGGAAAACGAAAGAATGAGATCAGCTGTTTGTTAGCATGCTGATTAGTCCTGTGTCTTAGCAAGCTATGTGACATGTTCCCGTGCGGTGAGCGTTCTCCATGACTACCCTTCTTCCCCGAACATAATGCATATGCGTTGTAAATGAATACAACGCATAGGGTGCGTTCTATTCGAATACAACGCGTATGCGTTCTATTCGAATAGCTCTAAATTTCGAATACAACGCGTTTGCATTCTATTCGATTTTTCTTTCCAAATTTTGAAACTCGAATACAACGCATATGCGTTATGTTCGGGGGAAGAAGGGGTACAAAGGCACAAAAATTTGAAACTCGAATACAACGCATAGGTAGTCTGATCAGATGCAGCTCTACTCGTACTTCGCGTAGCCATGCCCAAGCAGGGGTACAAAGGCACAAAAATTGTGGGACGTATAGCCTCCATGCGCACAGTCTGATCCGGTGCAGCTGGGTGCATACGTCACATAGTCGTACAGTCTGATCAGGTGCAGCTGTGTGCATACGTCACGTAGTTTTATTTATTTATTTATTTATTTATTTGAAGGACCACTACCTTTGACGTTTCCGGGGCGGGCCTCGAGATTCGAATTTGGAGGCACGGAGCCGTCAATGGAAAATATCAGCGGCCAAATTTTCCAGAGTAGGGGTTGTTGCTTTTGCAACTTGGCGTCCAGTGAGTGATAAAGGCAGTGGTGGTCCCCACATTCCTCCCCGGGAAAAGTGTATGCAGTACTATGCACACGTTGCAAGGTCATGCTGATGTCCGCTAGAACAATGGTGAGTCGCCTGTCTTAGTGTGCTGTCTGACATCTTCGACAATCTTTCGGCGGAGTAACGTGTTCTCGATATGTGGTGTATAATAACTAGCTACAGCTACCGTCTTCACCCGAATAGAACGCCCGGTCATTATAGTCGTATTTGGCACAACTTTCGGTCCAGATGCAGCGATAACGACGGGCGTTCTATTCAGGTGAAAACGGTAGGCACATAGTCGTCCCTCAGTCAGGGGCTACACTGCCACTGAAATCAATGGCTGCTGTGAAAGAGGGGAATCGGAAAAAGTGCTGGAGGGTTCATGATTCTGTCTGGTTTGATGATATGGTCTTTTCGTCCAGCTTTCGTTCCCTTGTCAATGAAAAGCGAGCCCCACCCTTTGATGGCCCGTTAGGTATATGAGCATGTGCACATTCATGCATTAGTCTCTCTCTCTCTCTCTCTCGCCCCCCCCCCCTTTCTCACTCTTTCTTGGTGTGTGTGTGTGTGTGTGTGCGTGTGTGTGTGTGTGTGTGTGTGTGTGTGTGTGTGTGTGTGTGTGCGTGTTTGTTTTCTTGTTTGTTGCTAAAAATAGCTCCAGAAGAAAAGCAGGAATCGAACTCGTGATGTGTGCATTTCATGTGTGTGTGCGCATGCAGCTTTGTGTCTTGATATATGTGTTTATGTGGGGGGTGAGCTGCAGAGAGTGCGGAGTCTATGCCTGCAGGTTTTGAATTTCAGTAAGGGGGGTGGGGTGGTAGCCCCTCATTTTCTTGTATCCGTGGGTTCGTACAGGATTTGGACTCGTGACAGTCACATTTGTGTACCATTCATCCAGATTGACTGGGTAAGTGTGTGCTTGCAGGTTTTTGTTTTGGTAGATACGTACATGTGTGTTTGAGGTGAGCTCCGCTAAGTGTGCAAAGAGTGAACATGCGCACTTATAGCCCTTTTCCTCGTCGTTATTCAGTCAAGAACGTCAGCGCAGAGTCCCTGCCTGTCCGCTTTCCATCCACTCATCCGTAATCTGTGTTTGCTGGCCTGTCTGTGTCGGCTTGTGTGCGATAGATGGTAAAGGGGCTTCGAGGACCTGCCCTACGCGTGAGGAGATTTGAGGATGCTCTCTGTGCGGACACTTCCTTGAGGTCGTTATGCAGCTAGTTGGTCATGTGAATTGGGGGACTGAGAGAACCATGAGCTCTTTATGCAGCTGACTGCTCATGTTAATCATCAGAGGACTGAGGGGACCATGGTGACAGGAGTTGGTCGAATGCTGCCGTTGTTGTCCACTAACACAGTGTAGCCACTGCTCTTGCACAAGGGCCGTGGAGAAAAAAAATGGCTTCCCGACGTCTTCTCAAGTCAGAGGGCCTTTCTATGGCCCGATGCATCTGCGAGAAATTTCTCCATCTTCACTTTGCGCATTCGCGATCGTATATGACAACTGCCGCCAGATTAGGTGCGTCTTCGAGGATTTCTCCTTGTTTGCAGCCTCCTCCGATATTGAGTCCCATAGTCATTGCAGCAGCAAGAAGGGTGCTACGGTCCGTAGGTGAGGGCGGCGTTCCTCTCACACGGGTCGGCAACCGACATTCTACATTTTGGTCACATTCGCAACTGTCCCGACGAGCACCGTTGTACAGGGAAGAGGCCAGCAAGCTTGATATCGATGGAGGAGATCGATTTGCGTCTCTGTTGCGAGAGATGAACCGGATGGAGCAGTGGGATGCAGTGATAAGGCAGTTTGAAGCTGCGCAGGCCTGGAATCAGGCTGCTCTCTCTGAGTACATCAAGGCGCTTGTACGGTCCAACAGGCTGAATGAGTCGGCTCTCATGCAAACGCTTTATCATGGTGCCTCTGCAATGGCTGCAGGCGTTGGTGGAATGCGAGGGGGGATGATGGGAGCAGGAGGTGGTGGTGGTGGTGGTGCTGCTGCTGTTGGAGTGCCACTAGGTGCGGCCGGCGCAGTTCTCGAAGACGGGACTCTTCTCGGCTCCTCGAAGAGCCCAGTTCATGTCGTGACAGGCGATGGCGGGTTCAAAGCGCAGATGTGGAGGACGCTGCGAACGCTGGCTCTTGGGTTCCTCCTGCTTTCGGGGCTAGGTGCGTTGATTGAAGATCGGGGAATCGGGAAAGGGCTTGGGCTGAATGAGGAGGTACAACCGAGCATGGAGTCGAACACGAAATTCGCCGACGTCAAAGGGGTAGATGAGGCAAAGAACGAACTGGAGGAGATCGTGCATTACCTCCGTGATCCGAAGGTATTCACCCGGCTTGGTGGAAAGCTTCCCAAAGGCGTACTGCTCGTGGGACCGCCCGGGACCGGGAAGACTATGCTTGCGAGGGCGATTGCAGGTGAAGCAGGTGTGCCTTTCTTCTACTGCAGTGGGAGTGAGTTTGAGGAGATGTTTGTGGGAGTGGGAGCGCGGAGGGTTAGGGACCTGTTTGCTGCGGCGAAGAAGAAGGCCCCCTGCATCATCTTTATTGACGAGATTGATGCCATAGGTGGAAGTCGGAATCCCAAAGATCAGCAGTACATGAAGATGACACTGAACCAGCTTCTTGTCGAGCTGGACGGGTTCAAAAAGAACGAGGGGGTCATCGTGATAGCAGCCACAAACTTCCCAGAGTCTCTTGACAAGGCACTCGTACGGCCTGGGCGTTTCGATAGGCATGTGGTTGTGCCCAATCCCGACGTTGAGGGTAGGCGGCAAATCCTGGAGGCACACATGCAAAGTGTTAAGAAGGCAGAGGACGTCGATCTTATGATCATTGCACGGGGGACGCCAGGATTCAGCGGCGCTGATCTGGCAAATCTGGTGAATGTGGGCGCCTTGAAAGCTGCCATGGACGGCAAGAAAAGTGTCGATATGGTTGCCCTGGAGTACGCCAAAGATAAGATCATGATGGGAACGGAGCGAAAATCTGCAGTTATCAGCCCGGAATCGCGCAAATTGACAGCCTACCACGAGGGGGGGCATGCACTGGTGGCCATTCACACGGAAGGTGCTCTCCCCGTCCACAAGGCGACCATTGTGCCACGAGGGATGGCATTGGGAATGGTTTCCCAGCTTCCAGATAAGGATGAGACGAGCGTGTCGAAGAAGCAGATGCTAGCGCGTTTGAATGTGTGCATGGGTGGTCGGGCCGCGGAAGAGCTCATCTTTGGTGACAGCGAGGTAACGTCAGGAGCGTCGTCCGATATCTCGCATGCTACTCAACTGGCACGAGAAATGGTCACCAAGTATGGCATGAGCGAGCTCGTTGGATTGGTTTCTCATAACTACTCTGACGATGGGAAGAGTATCAGTCCTGAGACGAGGTTGGCGATTGAGAGCGAAGTGAGGCGCTTGCTGGAGCAGGCGTACAGCAATGCGCGAGCGATTTTGCGGAAAAACGAGCAGCAGTTGCATGCGCTAGCTGGAGGACTCCTCGAGAATGAAACACTGACAGGTGTTCAGATAAAGGCGCTGCTTGCGCAGGTGGAAGCAGTGCCACAGAGCGAAGTCACGGTGACGACCACAGCAGCAGCGAAAGTGGCAGTACCAGGAGGTTCGGTTGCAGGTCTGGGAGCAGGGGGGCGAGCGCCAGGAAGTGGGGGAGGAGGTGGAAACGGCGGTGGCTCTGGAGTGAAACAGGGTGCTCATGGTACACCAGCACCAGTGCCAGGCGTTGCTGCACCAGCTACGCGAACAACTGCAGTGGCTGCTGGATGAATGGCGACAACGTGTCTGTACGCCCTTCATATCTTCTGACAACCAGCCTGTGATCCCTGACGTAATCGATGCAGGGAACTGACGCATGATCGCCCAACCGCGGGTGTGCATGGAGGCCTCAGGAAGCTAAATAGCTCAGCAGCGTGCCTGGCCTGTAAATTTTTAGAGAGGGGCAAAATTGCTTCGTTCATATGCCTCCATCATCGGCTTCGGGTGACAGATGGCAGGGATGCCCTGGGAGCTCAAAATTGCGCAGCGGTCCTTACAGGCTGTGGAGTAGAGAGGTACACCAGCACCTTATGCCACAGTGTCGTCATCGCCTCAGCTGTGCACTCACTGGTGACTGATGTTGTCATGTGCTTAGCAGTGGGTCATTTCAGCTTGTTTGTACACAGGCGATGTGAGCAGCCAGGGGCATACGTGAGCAGTAAGGGCAATACGTGAGCAACCCGGGGGCATATCAGCAACCGTCACTTGCATATCTGACTGATCCTTGGAAGATGGTGGGGCCGGAGACTTACAAAGTGGGGCGGCGTCGGGTGCTGATGTGATCATGTACTCAGCAGTGGCTTTTTGGGCAGGTAATGTGGTCATGCAGGGGCATATTGAGGACAGGCGCATATCGAGAAGGGTAACTTTACAATTAACTGACGCTTGAAAAACCACCGCTACCTCCTGAAACCCCCGTCGGCCACCTGAAAAACCGAGCGAATCCTATCTTCGGATAGTCAGAGGGTAACAAGGGTGGTTGTAAGCGGGATGATAGTCAAATAGCTTCGACTGTGGCACTGCATATAGGGGGTTCACTCTCCCTGAGGTCGGGTCACAACTTCGATGCTCTTGTCATCTGGATTGGTCTGCATTGGTGGATGTGTGACCGTGCGACATCCTGAAGAGGGCATGGACTCATGAGCTGTCTAACGAGATGCGGAAAGGAAAAGAATCGTGGTGAGCTGCTGACTGGCGTTGGGCGTCTGGTGTTAGGTTGGTCGGTCGGGTTCGTGGAGCTGCTGCTGTTGCTTAGGAGCCATGGTTCGTTCCCTCCTCTGTTTGATTCCAAGGTGTGAATAAGGCTGTCTAGAGCAGACAGGCATTTGTATATAGTCTCTTATCTTAGTATGTCTTCCTGGTATAGCCTGCTCTTGTCTAGGGCCGTGAGGTCTTTTGTGTGGCCTTATCTATAGCTTTTGCTTTTGCCGACCGTGCTCTCTCTCTCTCTCTCTCTCTCTCTCTCTCTCTCTCTCTCTCTCTCTCTCTCTCTCTCTCTCTCTCT